GCGGGTTAGCTCAGTGCATTGAGCCGGTGCCTACATGCCATATGGAGTTCAAGTCTGACCTGTGACCCTTTGCCACATATCTGCCCCGCTTTCCTGTTGTTGCTTCACTGATCTGTCTGATAAAAGCTGAAAAAGGCCCAAAAAAAAAGAAACTTGACAAAAATTGGTTTCTGATATTTATATTGAAACACGTACGATTCTTTGTAGTTGCATTTTTTAATCACATTGGTCATTATCTCTAAATAATTTACACGTGTTTTAGAAGAATAAATTTAGAATATATGCTAAAAGCTGTATTTGTTTACTTTCAGTAAGATATCAGTTTCTCTCAATAATGTATTCAGAAAGCAGCCAATCGACCAATCCATACCAGCCAGCCTCATTAAGCATGTCATTTATGCCTTAACAAAAATTAATCTAAATTCTCTCTGATTTGGAAGAGGCCCCTGCATCCCTCACCTATCACTGCTCTGCAGAAGGCAGCCAGGCGGATCGGCAAAGGAGGGAGAGCCAGACATAAATCAACAATGGGAATGGGTCCCAGCATGGAGGCTCCAAATCAAGGTCGGGAGAAAGCAGCCTATCAAACTACAAGGGTCAATAGATAAAAGGTTGTTAGGTGTGTGTGTGTGTGTGCGTGTGCGTGTGCGTGTGTGTGCGCGTGTGCGTGTGCGTGTGCGTGCGTGTGTGTGTGTGTGTGTCGTTTATCTTTAAATTAATGATAATCTTTTAACTTACATTTTTTAATCATTATTATTTCTGTTTGCTTGCATTGCACATTATGTGTCAGCTGAGCTTTTGGCTTCACATTAGCTGTTCAGACATCGGTGTCGTTATTTTGGAAACACTGCATCAGAATATATTACATAAGGCTGAGGTAAACAGTAAATGGACCTGTATTTATAAAGTGCTTTTCTACTCTGAGCACTCAAAGATATACATAAACAGTCCTCTTTAACCAGTACACACATCACATGACTGATAATGGGTGATTACTAGTCCCAAGGATTTATTCTATAGTCCATTCATCATACTTCTGAGAATACAAATCCATAAAAGTGCTGAGCATGTTAATATTACATTCAATACATACAGAGAATATGTGGAGGAGTAGCAGCTCTACTCTCCCAAATAGCAAAGTCCTCAGTTTATTTTTAAAGGAGATGCAAGCGTGAGTGAGTGTAGAGGACAGCTTTGAGTGCTCAGAGTAGGAAAGCACAATATAAGAACCAGTTCATGTACATAAGTATGGTCTGCGTATAATATACAACAATAACAGGCTTAACAAAGAGTAACAGTTATGTTGGGCCCATCTAGAAGTAAACCCACCTGCCTGCCCACTATTACACCACCTATTACACCACCTATTACACCACCTATAACACCACATATTACACCACATATTACACCACCTATTACACCACCTATAACACCACATATTACACCAC